CTATCTAGTAAAATGACTTCGATAAGGTCTGGATCAAAGGGTACACAAGCTTGTAGAACAATAATTTTAGGTATAAAATGGAATTCAGTAAAACCATTCCGCCTGGTAAAGATCTGGGCATTGATCCATCCTTGAACACTTCTAACAATTTTCAGAGCTGATGCAGTTACCTTAAGTTTATGTATTTTGACAGACTACTCGAATTGGCAAATTGTTTTACTTTAGATTGTTTGCATCACTACTGATGGAAATGCTCCACAATCCACGGTTCTGACGGTAGCCACTGATAATGAGCAGAAAGTTCATTTATTTATGGCAAGTATAAGGCTTTGTTTTAGGCCGCAAGATATTTTGGTTTGCATTATTTTCATCTTGAAACTTTGCTTCTAAGCTGCACTTGGAGATTGTAAACTAATAAAAGCAATATTCGAGAAAGACATATTTATGCAAGCATGAGTGGAAGTCCTTTCGAAGAGGCTATAGGCGTTACATTAGCCTGAATTTTTCCTTTTTCAATGCAAGGGGGATCGTCAGTCTTCCCTCTGTGGACACTATTAAATGTTAAAATGCTTTTAATGTTTGAGAAAACAAAGCTGGTCGATACTGAGGGGCAGTAATTAATCAAAATGTTAAAATTAATTCCTTACCCTCTTTTATGGATGGAAGTTGGGCCAATCTTGCTGATGGAGTTAAGGTCAATGCTATCAATGCCTCCTTACAAAAGTTTGTTTGTTAATTTGAACCTATTTGCCTTTGCTAACTACTGAGAAGAAATGCAATTCGGGGTGTAGTCGAAGAGGAACAACTGCTGATATCTGCTTAAAAGCCGTCCAAAGGGTCCAATGCGTTCTTACGGAGGTGCTACTTCTGACTTTTAGCCGAGTTATTAAGCATATGGGAGGGCACCGAAGCACTAAATTTACTGCTTAGAGGGTGCTTGTTTGTTTTTTCATCCGTAGTGGTGCAGAGGCAGACCGACCGAGATCGCCGCTGTCGCAGATGAATGAAATGAAGGCTCGAGAGCGGGAGTTCCGTCGACTTACCGGGAAGCCCTCGGATCGCGACATTGAGGTGGGAACAGAGGCGTATCCAAAACTAAGGCATTTGTTTCTGGATAGTTTCTGTGTGGTCACGGTAAATTTAAGTCGTATATCATTGTTAATTTAAAGTAGTGTGAATTGGGAACCAACTTTCTCCCCAAAACACTTGCAGCAAAACAAAGTAAACAGTCACCGAAGTGGGGTGTGCTTTTACTGAAATTGAATTTCTCTTCTCCTCAATCTTGAACAAAGGCGGATCTCTCAGTAACTGCGTGCAAAACTTTTCAGCACAGTCAATTAGGGCGGTTTTTTTCATTCGATATTTTTTGTGGTGCTAATTTGTGGAGAAAAGTTGAATGCGAAGCATTATTTCGTCATTCCTGCAGTGAAACTGTCCGTGCGCTTGTAAGACCACAACTTTAGCTTCGCCGTGTCCTTGAAAGGGAAGTTAAGTAGACAGGGTCATGACCAAGAAGAGGTGTCGTTTCCACCTGCAGTTTCCCCAAACCTCGACTCTGTCGCTTAACATTTAAACGTGCCTCAAGGGCCAATGAAGAGAACCTATTTGTAAACTTGTGGAGGCGCTTTCAACTGGAATTATAAAGGACACTTTGCCATCTTTGTTGAAGATGAATTGACAAGCAGTGGCTCGGAGTGATGGAGAGGACACGTAAACCACTCCATGTCGCCTTCATCAAACAGCAATATTTACCTTATAGCGATACGTATACTACATAGAGAATGGTGTGCCAGACAAGATGATCGCTGATCCACCGGAAAGACTGTGGGAGGCACTGCAGAAGGGCGTTCCAGAAGACTTAGTGAAAAATTGGAGCCAACTGGCTGAGAGTCTGCTAATGGAAATTAACCACGACTACAGAAAAGCCATCAAAAAAGCCACAGGTTGGTTTTAAATTGGGAAAAAATTGCATTTTTATGGAGGTAGACGAGTTACACATTTCCTATATTCATTTTACAGTGGACTACATACTCTTGGATAAAGAGGAGCGTCTGCGCCTCTTCATTCAATGGACGCCAATCCCCTACCCGACTTTTGTCATCAGGTCGCCTGTCCCGTGGCATGGAGAGATGGAAAAAAGAGTTAAAGTGTGCACCTATGGCTTGTTTGTGCCCTCAGCCATGAGCCTGGCTCTGAATGACCTCTGGTACAGCAAGTGAGGCTCCATGATTGCAGAAACACGTAGGCGGGCACGTAATGTAACTGTTACATTTCACAACTGTGTTCTCCTGCTTTACTTTGAGGTACGCGGATTTGCGATTTGTGGACATTGAAGCGATAAGGAAGGTAGGAGGGCCCATGTTACCGGCAGATTTTGAAAATCTTATTAATCAACAGTGCTTTGCTACTCGGGATATCCTCCGGAAACGGTGAGTTGTTGTTACTTGCATAGGCGAGAGACGAATGCTATCTTGGAGTTGGTTGAGTTGGTGTAAGTAGCTTAGGAGCGATTTGGCAGGACTTTTATTTACACAAACACTCCTTCCAGATGGATTCCAGATTGTGCGAATAAGTTTGTAGAATTGCGGCATCACTGGGCCCACCTCCTTCCCGAGAGTCGAAATTCGCCTCTCAAGCAGACTCGTGTTTTCTTCGCCAGCATCGAGGCTCTCATGTCTAACCAGTTAAGAAGCATTGTAGAGGCCTCCGTTCACCTGTTCACAGAGTTCATTGAAGAGTACAAGGTTAGCTGCTAACACCTCATTGCCCGTTACCATCTTCTCCTGAGAAACATCTCAAAGTCGCCTTGTTCCTCCATCACTCAAGTCGTCCAACGCGTTCAAAAATGAATATGAGGAGATGAACTTTGTGAAGAAACCGGTGCTGTTAATCAAACTGAAGGCTTCAGATCCCAAAGTTGTCTATTCGCCAAGTTTGAGGGAGATTCGAGAGCATTTGATCAAGTGCTTTCAGACTATCACTAACGCGGCTACTAATCTACCAAGGGTTGGTCAACATTCTCTCTGCCTTTTGTTTGTGATGCATTTGAAGCGACGTAGAGCATAAATGCACGCCAGTCTATCAATGAGCTACTTGTTCCAGCATTTTGCCTCGCTTTTCAGCCTTCAAGAGGTCTTGTTGAGCTCAGTGGACGAGATTTGAGTTCACAGTCTCTCTGAGGAAAAACTTGAACTTCATTCCAGAGGGGTGGCTGCAGAGTTCTCTTGCGCAGTCTTTCGGTTTATACTTAGAGGAGGAAATGAATGACCTCTACCTTTTAGTGATCAAGGATTGTTTGGGTGTGACTAAATGCATCAGTTGGTTGAGAGTATTCTGCTCTTCATCACAGGTTGAAACGGAGCTTTTTCCCTCCATGGTGAACCAGCCCATCTACATTCGCAGTGTGAACTATCAAGAGGACCTCGTGTCCAAGTGCACTGACCGATCGCTCCACGTCTTTCGCCTCAACTCCACCGGCCCTCGACAATACCTCGACTATTATCGTCCGTATGGCAACCTGCTCAACAACAAGGCCGAAATGGAGTTGCGCACCTTCATGAAGGAGAGACATAATCTCCTAATGGCTAAGAAGGTAGGTCAAAGTTACACTGTCATTTTTTGCCGGTGAAAAAAGGTGGGTGGTAGTAACTAATGTCTCATAAAGCTACTCAGCATCAACGCAGCTTCCCAATTGCTCCCTGACTACGTAGCAGGCATGCCGTTCATTAACGTGAAGGAGATGTAGAAAGCGATCAGAATTATCCGCTGACTATTGCCACAAAACAGAGGTACAACTTACGAAGAATGGAGTGACAGCACAGTTGAAAATAGTTGACTAGTGAGACGACGGAGATCGGATAGAAGTTCCGCGTGTGCAAAAAATGGACTCCTCTTTCAGTCAGGCCGTACACTCATAAATGCGAGTGCTTACACAGCCGTAATGGCGTTTTACCAAATAGGTCTCACGTCGTCACTTGTTAAAACAAATCGGGTTTTGAGTTAGAAATTTATTTCATCGACTTGTAAGCTGTAGGAATGTGACCTAGCAATAAAAACTAGTGTTGTTAACATTTTTTTTGCGCCTAGAAAAAGGGACTGTTGCAAGAAGGAGATCCTCTGGAAGATCAGCTCGCCGAGAACTTGAGTCAGGTTAAGAAGGTAGGCCAGATGAGCTTAGCAAAACAACATTAAAACTAGTACTAAACAATTTAGTAGACTGGTAGAAAGGAAACCAGTTGTGAGGAACAACAAAAATTACGATATGTAGATACGACTTTGGGTGGCCGGATCAACAGGGCGTAAAGGCAGTGCTTCATGAGAAACAATGACAACTAAAAGAGGAGGGTTGAGCATTGTAATTAATTGTGAAGCACAAGTTTGCACCCATGACGAAGCAAGGCTGCCTGAGCCCATTTCAATGACATTTCAATGCATTTTGTCAGCAACTGGATGCCTATAGGGAGTTGCAGATGGAAATCCTGGGGATGCGTTTCACCGTTCCGCTACAACTCTTCTGCCTCGACTGCAAAGGAGTCAATCTGAACTTGGCAGGAAGAGCTCGAAAATTACGTGACATCCTCTCCAACTTTGAGTTGGATGAGGCGAGAGAGATCAATCGGAGGTAAGCGCATCTCCACAAAGTGTCACATCACTGACAAGTGAGTTTTACTAAGTAAATGCTATTGGCATTGTACATCGGTTAGGGCGAGAGGAAGTGGAGTCTTCTTCAGTGATACTGATAACCGCCTTAGTGATGAATTAGTAAGAAACAAGGACCTGGTTTTCGTTCAAGTAAAATCGGTTCTGTTGATGAAATTGGGTGATTGACAGCGCAACCGCTGCATGCAGGTGCTGGCTAATCCATCCTTCGTGGAAAAGTCTCAGCTATGGGTTTTTTTGGTCATACAATCGCACCGTAGTCAAATTTTCTCTGCAGGTTGTAGGCACAACTAGGCGATTTAGAAATTGTGTCAGGGACCGGTAGAAAGAAAGGTCCAATGGCGTGATTATGGTGGTTCAACAAGTGGTCAACCTGAAATTACGTTTCCCGGATGTGGAGCGCCCAGCACCAACAGATGCAGGAGTAGTCTTTTCGGCACCGAAATGAGCTTAGTCTAAGTGATATCTGGGGTTGGTCCTCGTCGAGGGTCTTCATAGGATCAAATAATAGGGCGCTAGAAGCTGGAACGCCCAATGCTTGGGCTGCTTCATTAGTTTTCAGGCATTGCTTTGTGCTTCATTTGAGGAGAGGCCACATATGGTCCGTTTTTCACTTGTCTGTCTTTTGCTAAAAGAGAACATCTTTGAGTACAAACGACCAAAGTAGGTTCGTTCGTTCCTCAAATTTATTCGAATTGAGCATCTCGGTTGGTTACGGTTTGAGTCTCCTCATCTGATCTGCTGTGGTCCAGCCAAGCAATTACTTTTGCCAAATCAACAGAACTTTTGAACAAGACAAGGCCAAAAATAGGCGACAAGTCTATTTTGTGCCCTTTGAATGCTCAGATGGAGACCTACGGATAATAAATGGAAGCGTTTTAGGTTTCACACAATTTCAGTTAGAAAAAAACTATGCGTAATCATTTCCTGATCAAGTATTGTGCTCTGTAAGGTGGCAAACATCTACTTCTTCTAGCAAAACCTATATAAGTAGCATCCACAGGCCCTATAAAAATGTCTTAAAACTAACCTCATATTCAATAACATGGTTTTTTCTGCAACAAAGTATTTAATAAAAATGCATAAATAAGGGAGCAGAATTTTCGGTTGTAAATAAAATACAATCGCCTGTTATTGTCAGGCCCTGAACACAAATCCACTTTGATGGATTGCTTAAGCACATAAAAAGACTTGAATGAAACCTTGTGGCTATTGCATCGTTATAATTGTTTGATCTGCAAGCACTTACCGTATTGTGGAATCTTAAGCCTCCCAGTTATTTCGATTGGATTCAGGCGGGCAGTATTTGGGCATGCCTTGCGTCTTGCAGCATCTGCCGTCGTTATGAGGCCATCACGAACAAACTGAGCGAGGAGCCCGCGGACACACAGGCTCTGGTGGACCTTCAGGAATACCTCAAGGATACTCAAAATAAGACGGTCTTTCGGTTGCAAGCCGAAGTAGCGGAATCAGCAGAACATCTCAGTTTCCTTCTTGACTACACCTTCATGTCGGGTGGGCTGACCTCCCTTTTAGTTTTTTTTTTAATTTTAATTAAAAGCATATGTTGTTTTGTTTTAGTACTTAAATGGTTAGGGGCTACCAAAGGATCCGAAAGTCTCTTGAGATGAGTGCATAAGCTGCATCTATTGCCTTACACCCTAGTTACAGACAAATTCAACTCTCTTTTACTAGAAGATGATATTCGAATGAACTCCAACCTTTTCTACTGGCCCCACTACATCAAGCAGATATTCAGCGTGGCGAACTCCCGTCTAGCTGGCCTCCAAGACGCCGCTGAGGATGCCCTGCGTGCTCGCATCCTCGCGTTGGAGAAACGCGTCGCCGGTTCTGCTGACTACGTACAGATTATGCAGAAGAGGGAGACTCTCTCCCAGGATGAGATCAAGAAAGCTAACGCCACGCTTGATAGCTTTGCGGCCCTTGTAAGTGAATTCAACGATGAGGCCGAGGCTATCACTAGGTAAGACAGAACACAGTGCAAAAAACAGACCCTGAACCGTCAGCAATGGTGATAACTTGAAGCTTTTCTGTGTTTTTAAAGAGAGGAGAAGCTACTACAGTTTGAAGAGAGTGAGTTCATACAGATTGTTGAAATGCGGAAGGCGATGGAGCCCTATGAGAAGTTGTGGCGAACGGCACATGACTTTGAGGAGAAGAGCAAGACCTGGTTATCTTCACCCTACTGGAAAGTAGATGCTACAGCGGTGGAGACAGAGACAGCAGACATGTACAAAACCATCCATAGGCTGAACAAAATCCTTATTGACCAACCTGCTTCTCTGAAAGTGGCGCAGAAATTGAGGGTAAGTGCGGAGTGGGATGGTACGCTGTCAATGAGCTGATATTCCTGGTGGTTTGATCGCAAAAAACATTGCTGCCTCCGTTCCCTTCGCAAAGTTCAAAAAATACCCATTGTCACTCTTGATTTTCACTTTCCATTGATAGGCAAAAATAGAGAAGTTTATGGAATACCTGCCGACAATGCAGGTGGTGTGTAATCCAGGCATCCAACAACGTCACTGGGAGCGCATGTCGGAAGTGATAGGTTTCGAGGTACTACCAACACCGGAGACGCCACTGTACAACCTCATTGACCTTGGACTGGAGGAATTCCTGCCCCGTCTGGAGGAGATTGCAGCAGCTGCAGCAAAGGAGCACAAGTTAGAGACGGCGTTGCATAAAATGAAGTCCGATTGGGCGGCCATGCGATTCGAACTGCTGCCGTACCGCGACACTGTGAGTTTCGACCGCTCGCGTTTCCCTGCCTTTTCGCACACTCAGAAGGCAACTAAGCTGATAGATTGGGAAATCCTCGACATTACCGCTATTCAATAGTGCCTCCTTTGTTGGAAAGAAGATGCGTCCACCAAATGTTTCAATTCAGTCTCCAGTTTTCTCAGTTTTACCTTTTTTCACAAGCGCCTAGACGACTTATGAAACCGACTCCCTAGAAATGCCAGGGAGATGTGATCTCTACTGCATTTTGCGTTCTCGTAGGGCGTGTGCATTCTCTCGGCAGTCGACGACATTCAGGTGCTGTTGGACGACCACGTGATTAAGGCACAGACAATGCGCAATTCCCCCTACATCAAACCCTTCGAGGAAGAGATGAGGGAGTGGGAGAACAAACTAGTGACAATGAACGAGATCATCGACGTCTGGCTTAAGGTAATCTCTTTGAAGGGCATTTTAAATGGTCAAATACCACCTGCTTACTTGTTTAAACAAAGAAAAGTTGAAAATCGCACTTTCGTATGATAAAGGTACAAGCAACATGGCTATACCTGGAGCCTATATTCTCATCTGAGGATATTCTGGCACAAATGCCGGAAGAGGGTCGCAAATTTGGCGTGGTGGATGTGCTCTGGCGCGAGATAATGGCAGAGGCAGCAAAGAATTCCTCATGCCTTGTAGCTACTGACCAGAGGGACATGCTACGCCGACTCACAGATGGAAATTACCTGCTAGAGGAGATCCAGAAGGGCCTCAACGACTACCTGGAGAAGAAACGACTCTTCTTTCCTCGGTGAGCCAACGGAATGCGTAGCAAGAGCAGGAATTTACGGTTGGTGCAGAAATCGAATGATAGAGACTACATTTCGGATAGCAGAACCTAGTTGTTTGGACGTAGGGATTTAAATAATCGTTTTCACTTTCGCGTAAACAACGCAAGTCTGCCTTCCCATAGACGATTCACAGTCCTCCAATAAAAGTCTCGCCGTACCTTTCGGTATTGAAAGAACTAGTAAAGTAAGTTATATCAAAACGGTCCACATAAGCCTTTTCGTGGATCGAGTCTTCCTTTTGGCAGATCAGTGTACTGCGTTCCTCTCCATCAGTAAAGCGTGTCGTTATTTGTAGTTCGGTGAAATGAATCGCCTTCTAGGTATGCTTAGAAAAATGCAGGTAACATAACTGTTTCCTTAAGTCTGTGGTACAATTTCCTTCCCCGCAAACACACTGCCATATAAAACTAGACATTTCGAGCACGATGAAATCGATCAACCCACGTTTTCTCTTGTTTCATCAGCTGCACTAAATACACATTTCAGGTTCTTCTTCCTGTCTAATGACGAGCTACTGGAAATACTCTCGGAGACCAAGGACCCCCTCCGTGTGCAGCCGCACTTAAAGAAGTGCTTTGAAGGTATAAGCGCACTTAACTTCACCGATCAACAAGAAATCATCGGCATGATGTCGGCTGAGGGCGAAATGGTGCCGTTTGTCACGAAAATCTACCCTGCCAAGGCGAAGGTGAGGGCACATGTGCAGCCATTCTCCTCAATAGTTGTTTTTGACTTGACTGCAGGTGTTGCTAGGGCAACACAATTGAAGTTAGCAGTCTGATTGAACAAAATCCCATGTCAGTGTCACACCATTCGTTTCTATTCTTTGACACAAGGATTAAAATACCAGGAAGCAAAAAGCCATCTGAGCATGGGGGATGCACTGCTAAACTGTTCAGTGATTGCACAACTAGGCGTTACATTGAAGTTCTTAATTCAAGGCAATCATTTGGAGGTTTACAAGAGAGCGAAAAACCGTTTTCTAGGAGCTTTTGCTTTCTTCTTGCATAATTTTTTCCTTGTCAAAGGGTTTTCCGCATAGCACAAAGATGTGAATAATCTTATTTTTAATTGGAGGTTTTAGCTTTATGTATATCATCACAGAAAATCATTGGCGTCGTGTGCGGCTAAAATATTGCTGCTAGACTAAAGAAATTCTGCCGATAGTCATTTGGCCTCCCGAGTGCTTTGATGACATCCCACTTTGAAATATAAAATGACCCAATGAATGCAAAACATTTGCATAAAACAATTAAAGTATCAAAAATGGACAAAAATATCACCTGAAATATAAGTAAAATTTTATATATAATAATGCCGAAACGCTGCAGATGTTGCTGCTTTAACCAATTTCTCTTCACTCACCTCAGACAAGTAAGCCCTCACCATGGCAATAATACTAAAATTTTTCATTGAATGTGCAAGATTTCTACCCACTTCTTCCAGAAATTCATCACATTCATCGTAAGTTCTACACCAATTAGGTGAAAATAACATGCTACAGAATATCTTATTAACGTTTCGATTGATTCCAAGATTGAATAGTTAAGGATGTGAAACGATGTTTCTTGATAGGGTATGGTGGAGAAGTGGCTCCTGCAAGTTGAGGAGATGATGGTTCAAAGTATCCGCAAAGTCATCGCAGACAGCATTGAGGCTTACCTATTGACAGTGCGAGAAAAATGGGTTCTTGATTGGCCGGGCCAAGTAAGTCGCTCATCCAATCAAAGATGGGTTTAGAGGACCAATCAGAAGTTTCGTATTCCCTCATAGGTTGTTTTATGCGGCTCCATGGTTCACTGGACTAGCAATGTTCAAAAGGCCATCTCGGATCAGAAGCTGGTACCAGAGAAGTTGAAGTGTGATAAACAGATTGAGGATATTGTGACTTTGGTGAGGGGACAACTTACAAGTGGAGAGCGTCTCACTTTGGAAGCTCTCATCGTTCTCGATGTGCATGGTAGGTCAGACAAAGTACTCAAAAAATTACAGAGCTCTACTTCAGTTAGATGCAATCAGCAAAATACGTTAAACGTGTTTATACAACTTGGTCAACTAACTTAAATGAGATGTGCAGGCGAAAGATTTCGAACTTGCCTAAGTAGCGATGCATTAAACGAGAAGGAAATTTTGTGGTCGATGGTAGTAGTAAATTTGGATAGCTGTTGCTGTGGTCTTAACTACCTTAAGCTCTGGAAGTGAATGTACATCTTTATTGCTAAAAGTCAACGTAGAACAAGATTCTGCATAACCTCTTCCTGCAGAGCTTATTATCCATTATTATTCCTCAGCTATGATCACGCGACTGCACGTGAGGTAGCCAGGATGGCCACCAAGGTGAGGTGGGCGTGACTAAGGTCAAGTGCTTTATCTCTACTTTTTTAATGCCTATTCCATTAGAAAGATACTGAAGGTTATCTGGGTGATGGTTTTAGTAAATAAAACGCCTCCAGCGGCCTTCTTTAATCTTAATGATTGCAAGGAATCAACTGCAATCTCAACTAACCCTGTTAAATTGAACATAAAAATATCGAAGTAGTCGAAGGCCAAAATTAGCCTCAGCTATGATAATGGCTGGGAGATTCTCCAGCTAAGATGTACCGGAGATTCTCAAAAGTGAATGTTTATGCAACTCATGCCCTTTGGATGAGCTGCCCACCCTGGTTTGCGAAGTGGGCCAAAAACAGTGCGCGCGTTTATACCGTTTAGGGGTATTCAGCAGCATGGATCTATTTATCAACTATGGGATTAGAATGTCAAGGAAGAAGTCTGTGTGTGATATACTCACTAGTGAGACACAGTGGATGTGGATAATTAGTATGGTGGGACTAAATGCGAGGCTTCGGATTCCCTTTATAGTGCCTATTTGTTTTAAAAATGTATACTCTGAAAGGAGTTGTCATCCAGTCGGACTGCTCTGTGCAGGTTGATTTTTTTCTCATCAACACTCAAACCATGGCTGAATTTTATCGTTTAAGATGCTTCAACTCCTAGTCACGTGCTAAACAGGCTTCATTGCTCTGGAACCTACCGAAATGATGTTTAATGACGGCACATGTCGCCTTTAATATGATTATAATAACTTTCATTGCGATTCAATGTTACCACATTTTTTTGCTAAGCTCGAGACGTGGTTGCGCAACTGGTAGCGGCGGAGACCAACTCCATCACTGCCTTTGAATGGTTAAGCCAGCTTCGCTACTACTACTCCGCCAAGGAGAACCACGCCATCTACGTCCAACTCATCACTGCGCAAATCACCTACGCGTGAGTCTTTTCATGAGGCTCTTTAAGTGCTAGGGACTGATTCCTTTCCGAGATCATGAGCCTGGCAAGCTCTCAATTGTGTTCTAAAACGAGGTAAGATTACCTTCGGTGGCGCATGGCCGCCTTCCATAGCTCACCAAAAGGCTGTTTTGCCAACATTTGCCATACACAGGTAGAATAAACCCCAATGCCATGAAAAAATAAAAATGAAATGAAATGAAAATTCCACAGATATCCTGTTTATGGCATACTTTAAGTAGTAAAACATCTTATTGCCCTCATTTCGACAAACTGGTTCGAGTTAGCATCTTACCTATGCTAAAAAAAGTGACATGGTATTTGGGTTACAGCAATGCATGACTTAAGGCGGACTTCTAAAATGACCTGCTTTGGTAATTTAAGTTGTGAATACCTCGGAAACACACCGCGTCTGGTCATAACACCGCTTACGGACCGCTGCTATCGAACTCTCATGGGCGCCATTCAATTGAATCTGGGCGGAGCACCCGAGGGGCCAGCAGGCACCGGAAAAACAGAAACTTCCAAGGTGCATGACCCAGCAGTTATTGCCTTATAAAAGTACTTGTATGGTTTGTGAAGTGTTTCCGCATGGTTATGTGCTAGTCATCTACTAGATTTGTCACAAAAAGGAGGCATTTTAATGACGGAAGCATTTTTCTTTATACATAACACTAACGGATGCCATCTGTACAGCTGCCTCGCGCAGTACCCTCCGCCTCAATCTCTTGGAGGGAAACTTCACTGGGCACATTTTCTCAGGGCTCTTTTGCTGCTATATTCGTCTAGATTTAAAAAGACTTCCAAAATTTTCTATGGACGCGCGGCACTTTTAATCGAAGTGCTAAACACAAAAATGGCAGTAGTTTATGGAGAGTAATTTAACTTGTACAATAACCCCATTATGGCAGGAATCGGCAATAATAGGTTGGCTTTCTTTAAAGGATTTAGCCAAGGCAGTGGCAAAACAATGCGTCGTTTTCAATTGCTCAGATGGTCTGGACTACAAGGCGATGGGGAAATTTTTCAAGGGTCTCGCCCAATCAGGTGCTTGGGCGTGTTTTGACGAGTTCAACCGCATAGAGTTGGAGGTACTTTCCGTGGTGGCGCAACAAATCCACTCCATTCAGATTGCTATTGCTCAGGGCCTGGAACGTTTCGTTTTCGAGGGAACTGAACTGCAATTGGATCCCACTTGCACCATTTTCATCACCATGAACCCTGGCTACGCGGGTCGTCAGGAGCTGCCTGACAATTTGAAGGTTATTGGATCTTTAGGCCTCATATACTCTTTCTCACCACCATCTAACTGAGTTTGAATGCTATTTGCTGTTGATGAATTGATGTGATTGCCATTTATAGGTCCTCTTCAGATCTGTGGCCATGATGGTGCCTGATTACGCCCTCATTGGCGAGATTTCTCTCTACTCAATGGGCTTTGTGGAGGCAAAATCGTAAGTCTTTGTCATTTCTCCTTTGCAAAGACCCGATCTAAATTCTTTAATTTTCTAAATATACCATTCTCAAGTACCATGTTGAGAGAGATTTTGATTGGCAGTTGAATGGAATGCTTGTGTGGCAAAGCATGATGGCGATTTGGCTTGAATCTCATTTTTTGGGCCTAAATAACATTCAATAGCTTGATAAGCCTCAATAAAGCCACTTCTGCTCGTTGGTTTATCTGAAAAGCTCTTTAGGTCCAAATGATCTTTGTAATCCGAATGTCATGCTTACTTATGCATGATTACGACATGTTCAACCTACGGACAGCATCATTGCTATGAGAAATGTTTTGGTAACACCGACCGAATAAAACAGGTAAAGGCATAAGAGGATCGCTGTTTTTTTTACTATCGTAGCCTCTCGAGCAAGATTGTGGCGACTTACAAGTTGTGCAGTGAGCAGCTCTCCTCTCAGCATCACTACGATTACGGCATGCGTGCAGTCAAGTCGGTGCTTACCGCGGCTGGCAATTTGCGACAAAGCTGCTCTGATGGCGCAGAGGAAAGTCAGCTTGTTCTTAAAGCTATTATTGATGTGAATCTGCCGAAGTTTCTGGCTCAAGACATTCCTCTCTTCGAGGGCATAATCTCTGATCTCTTCCCTGGTGTTCATCTAGCCGAAACTGACTATTCCGCCTTTATGGAGGCAGTGGAGGAAGCTTTAGCCACACGACACTTGCAACCCGTCCCCTGGTACAAGGAGAAGATTCTGCAAATCTATGAGATGATTCTCGTTCGGCATGGTCTCATGATTGTTGGGGCTCCATTAGGAGGGAAGACGCAGGCTTACCAAAGCCTTGCAGACGCGTTGACCCAACTTGGGGAGACAGGCGGCATGGGAGATGAAAGTGAAGTGCATTTTGGGATAATTAATCCAAAGTCAATCACAATGGGGCAGTTGTACGGTCAGTTTGATGCGGTGTCTCATGAGTGGTCGGACGGTGTGTTGCCGGTGCTGTATCGAAGATACGCCCTAGCACAAGATGACCATCGCAGGTGGGTGATTTTTGACGGTCCAGTGGATGCAGTGTGGATAGAAAACATGAATACCGTACTAGATGACAACAAGAAACTATGCCTCATGTCTGGCGAGATAATTGCCATGTCCAAACGCATGAATATGATTTTCGAGCCAGAAGATTTGGAACAGGCGAGTCCAGCCACAGTGTCGCGGTGTGGTATGATCTTCATGGAACCCTTGCAATTGGGCTGGAGGCCAATGATGAACTCATACATAGCCCATGGACTGCCCCCAGTGTTAAATGAGGAACACAGGGCGTTGTTGCGAGACCTCTTTGAGTGGTTGGTGGATCCCTGTTTGGAGTTTATTACCAACAATTGCACCCAACTGTTGCCAATTTCGCAGCTACATGCAGTGAAACAGCTTATTACGCTCTTTGATGCACACCTGGATCCAATGAGAGAGCTGGGAACTGGGGGCGCTGGCAACGAAGGTAAGTCACACTTGTGATTTAGAAATCCCATCACTTACAAGTTCAGCATTGCCGGATACAAAAAACAGTTATGAATTTTGCCTTTATAAACATGGCTAATTCGGCATTCAGAAGCCCAGATAAGTGTTAGTTGGCAGTTGCCCCTGCTCCCCAAAGTAGAATGTAGCATGTTGACTTGAGTCTTGGTCAAATGTTCTAGACCTTAATTATTTTGTTTCACTCAGACGAAGAAGCCGACCAGACTGGTCAAGGGACCTACGGTTTGACAGAGCAGACTATCACCCTTTGGCTGCAGGGCCTCTTTGTCTTTAGTCTTGTGTGGAGCCTCGGTTCCGCACTCTCATTGAATGATCGCGCACGGTTTGATGTGATGCTCCGTGATCTCCTTGGCGGTTCCAGCGCCGACCACGAACGTCCAGCCACGTTGAAGGTGGTGGGAAAAGGAAATGCTCTACCCGACCGTCTGACCGTCTATGACTTCTTCTTTGAACGCAAGTCCACAGGCAGCTGGGTTGAGTGGGCTGCACGTCTCGCCACACCAGAGTTGGGGCGTGACGAGCTACCGCAGGACATGATCGTGCCCACTACGGAGACTGTCCGGATGTCTTACTTTCTAGACATCTACTTGTCTCACCGCGTTCCTATGCTGGTTGTTGGTTATACCGGTAATTAGTTATGGTGGCAGCTCACACCTTTTTAACAGCAATAATGACGTGATTGCCAATTTGGAAAGATGGTCGCATTTTTTGAAAGATGTGGATATTTATTAGTAATGCTCAAGTCGTCAAATCCTTCTTCTTTAACTACGGCCTTTGGTTTGAAGGTGGTGCCTTTTTTGTTTATGCACAGGTACCGGAAAGTCAGTGCTGGTGAATCAGCACTTGGTGAATCTCCCCAAAGAGGTTTACATTCCAAACACACTTAACTTCTCAGCGCGCACCTCGGCAAATTTAACTCAGGACATCATTATGTCACGGCTGGATCGTCGGCGACGTGGAGTCTATGGCCCACCGCCGGGCAAACAATGTGTTGTCTTTGTGGATGATCTCAACATGCCCGCTAAGGAAGTCTATGGTGCCCAACCACCTATTGAACTTCTCAGGATGTGGCTCGATCACGGACACTGGTACGACCTAAAGAACAATAACAAACAGTTTCTTGTGGATGTGGTAAGTCCTGGAGAAAACATTGTCTACGCAGTCAGTGGTACAAGCTCAGTAGGGTTGCCGCAGTCCCAGATTATACCGACGGAAGCTTCATGGTGCTTCGTTTGTCCTGTAAAAGCAGGAACTTCAGTAATATGGGGAACGCATGAACAGAACCTGCACTCTTAGTGAGGGTACAACTCATCTGAGCTGTCCTTCTAATAGCCTTGGGACAATCATTTGTGCTCACCAAAAATATGATAGTTTCAACACTCATGACTTGTTTTTCTCCGCCTTACAAGGTGAGGAGGCATACAACTGTATGGTGTAAAATTAACCACCGAAAAGACTTTCCACTATTTAATTCAACAATATAAAGCAGCGCATGAAATAATAAACATTGATTCTGCCTTTGCTTGGGAGTTTCTTTTCACATTTCTCAAAACAACTTACTGCCTTCTTTTGAGCTTTTCCTTGCTGCTATGGGTCCACCGGGTGGAGGAAGGAACGACATTACCTCGCGCTTCACACGTCACTTGAACGTTCTGGGGGTGAATGAGTTCAACGATGCGACAATGAGTCGCATCTTCTCCATCATTGTGGACAAGCACTTTGCACGCGGATACGATTCTCAATTCAGTCGACTTTCCAAGGTAAGCAGCTCCTATTAAGTTCTTCCGTGGAACCAAAAAGTGCTATACTTGGTTTTAGTCTCATCTTTTGCTAAAATGAGAAGCACCAGGCTTTGAAAATTCAACCACTTAACTTATCACTTTGTAGATTATGGTCCAAGCCACGCTGGAGACGTACAAACGCGCAATTGCTGTGTTCTTACCCACTCCAGCTAAGTCCCATTACGTCTTCAACTTGCGCGACTTTGCCCGAGTCATCCGTGGTGTTCTCCTGGTTCCCCCATCCTGTATGAAGGAGGGGAATAAGTTTATGCGCCTCTGGGTCCACGAAGTGAGTGATCGCTGGCTAAGTTTCTACTGCTTTTAAATTCAGGATTCGTGTTTACGTCTCGCTTAACTTTGTGGTAGCATAAAAGATCAAAGACTTACTTGACACACATGAGTTCTGGAGCAGCACATTTTCTTAGCAAAGCCGTTGAAGATAACCGACTTATGCGCCTTTTGATCCATGAGCTGAGTTGGTTATTTTGAGCAGAGGTGTGCCACTTTTGGAAGGGAAGAAACAAGTAACTACATACTCTCTCATCTAAGTGATGTTAGGTAGATGTCGACGATCCCATATAGCAGCCATATTTATCAAAATTACAAATAATCGCAAAGAATGTCTCACCAATCTGTTTAACGAAATTGTTAGATAACCCTTGAAGCATTTACAACTGAGACATGAAACAAAAACTCCCGACATAGTCGACGGGAAACGGTAAACGTGTCACACTTCTCTTCTAGGTATACCGTGTATTCTATGATCGCCTAACATTGGAATCCGATCGCGAAAAATGGTTTGAAATAGTCAAGGAGACTCTCAATTCCGTCTTCAAGGTCACAATAGACAATCTTTTGGGCTACTTGAAGTCGTCTGATGGTAAAGTAACCGATGAGGATTTGCGCTCCCTGATGTTCGGGGACTACATGACTGATGATCAGTTCTACGACGAGGTGACGAGCATGGATGAATTGAAACATCGAATGCAATATTTCCTCGACGACTATAATTCGGTGACAAAAACCCCCATGAACCTTGTGCTCTTTCAGTTCGCTATGGAGCACGTCAGCCGGGTGGCTCGTGTGCTAAAACAGGATGCGGGGCATTGTCTTCTTGTTGGTGAGTGACTTCGCTAGTTTTCTGAAGATTTCCCTTCTAGTGTCTCGTATGAACTATCATATCTCAGTGAAAACGAAGAGGCTAAGCTTCTTTTCAGCAAAGTAGGGATCAGGACCGAACAACATAGGTCGGTCTTACTACTCACAATCCACTGTTAGTAACATATGAAATTTTGTTGACTACTAATTTAAGTTAATGATGGTTTGAATGTTCCATTGTTGCTAAGTTGGACTTGAGGAAGAGAGTGCTTTCACTAACCCAAGAGAAAGAACTCTCAAGTGGTAATTTGCCAACTCTTTTCTAGGAGTGGGTGGCAGTGGGCGGAACAGCGCTGCCCGCCTCGCCACACACATGGCCGACTACGAGTACTTCAGCATTGAGATCACACGCAACTATACTGCGGTTGACTGGCGGGAGGACATGAAACGTCTGCTGCTGAAGGCAGGACTCACTGGCAAACCCACTGTATTCTTCTTTTCCGACGGGCAGATCAAAATGGAATCTTTCATGGAGGATATCTCCATGCTCCTTAACTCGGGCGATTTGCCAAACATTTTCCCTGCCGATGAAAAAGCAGAAATGCTCGATAAATTGCAGTCCATAGCTAGAGAGGCTGTAAGTCGCAAAATATGAAGAACACCGACCATGTTGATCTTGATGACATTGCATCCAGAGCATAGAACGGCTTTAAAAATGGCACTATTGACCAAAATCTGTTACTATGTCTTTCCGATACCAAATGATGTGAGACCATAAGCTATCAAATCCGGCGCTTAATGAGACTCCAATCCACTCATTATTTCTTAGCTTCAAGCCTCCGCGGACCTTATTTGATGTTGGACACAAAGTAGCATCAGTACTGACTCCCGTCTCCTCTTATAGCAGCTTTTTTTCTTTGTTATTAGAATGCCTTTGCATGGTTCGAATTGGTTTGCTAGTGAAAATGAGACTGAAGAGAAATAACTGTCTACCACAGGGACAGACTCTTTGCTAGCGTTTGATGAATCCATGAACGCGCGTATGATTCTGCCGATGAGATTTAGATGATATAGTTCAAAATCTCAAATTAACAGACTCTACACTACTTCTGAGGAAACGGAGGATTTTGATCCTCATAGGCTGTGCATACCGATGCAGCTTGTTACTTTGTCACCTTTCAACAGCTACAGAAGCAAGTTCCATCAGCATCGCGCTACCGCCACCGGGATGCCCAGATCAAGCTTGAGTAAATGCAACTGTTAATTATGCGATTTGCCTTCCCAAAATGTAGACCACTTCAGACGACGTGAGTTTGCTGTTTGCTTGCACGAAACTGCACCAGATGATTTGTATCCGAAGCTATACGAATGCACACTATGCGTCCCTTTTGACTGCCCACTCCCTCTTATCTCCTTTCTTCCTTCACGATACCCAATTTCGCCACCATAATTGAAGCTCTCCTCCAACTTGACGGAGACTGCATGCATGACAAGCTGTTCACTTCCAGGACCAGCTTAAAATGATGAAGTCATTTTCAGCTCTGAGGCCTTCACCACAGCAAACAGCATCAACGCTTGCACACTGTTTTTACTACCTTTAAAAGGAGAGGCCATTTTAAAGCCTTCTTTTCAGATATTTTTAAAACCAAAAATAG